GTGCCCGGATTGTGGGCTCGATCAATGACTCTCTCATCATTGATGTTTCTATCTCTCTCTCTCCCTCTCCTTTCCTCTCTCTGAAATCAATAAAGATATATTTAAAAAAAGAAAAAAAAGAAAAGAAAGTAACATTAAAAATAAACATAGTGAAAAACTAAAACAGTCTTATTAATTAAATTCTAAGCCAGATCCTACTGCTTACAAATATGTCGGTCCTGAGGTTGCCCTCACTTTGTTAAAAAAATAGCCTTATAGACAGAGTAGCCCCAGCCTGAGACCATCTCCTCATGGTTAGCAGCAGAAGAACTTGAACAAAACAAAAAAGATGACGTGTTCATTTTGGAACTCAGTGTTTAATGCTACTTATGTTATAGTCTACCTAAAGTTACCTTTTACTCTGCCAGTAGTTTATATCCTACTCGAAGGAGCAGTTTAGGCTATGTTGCCATAACAGGTTAAGTCTGAAATTTCAGTGGATTGACACATGAAGGTTTGTTTCTTGCTCGTGCCACATGCCCAGAGTGGATTAGAGTGGGAGTGGAGAGCAGGCTGTTCTGCAGTACTTAAGGTGTTACCAGGCTGAGGGAGGCACCACCCTCTGGAGCTTCATCAGTGACTGTGGTAGAAGAAAATTTATAGAGAACTCACACATGTTCTTTTATACTTAGAATTGATCAGCTCACTTCTCTCCTCTCCTCAGCCCATTGGCCAGAGCTAGTCATGTGGCCTCGCCTAAGTGCCAGGGGGCTGGGAAGTCTAGAGGACCACATGGATTAGCTGGTGAGCATTGCTGCCTTTGCTGCATCTGTCTGCAGCATTGGGCTGGTCTAGATGCCTCTAGATGAGGAGCGGGTATGGGTGTTTTTGCTTGAAGAAGGTAATGATCGCGTATGAGCATTTGTAAAACTGTTAATAGTACATTACGCAAGCCGTGCGATGTGCCAGACCCTTCCTCGTAACGGGGTCTCCTTTCTTAAAGCTTCATTAAAGAGCGGTCGAAAGCCAGCGCAGTTCCTCTGAAAAATAAGAAGGCCTCCAGTTTCCATGAGTTTGCCCGGAATACCAGTGATGCTTGGGACATTGGCGATGATGAGGAAGAGGATTTTTCCTCCCCTTCTTTCCAAACTCTGAACTCAAAAGTTGCTTTGGCAACTGCAGCCCAAGTCCTGGAAAACCACAGCAAGTTGAGGGTGAAACCAGAACGGTCCCAGTCAACAACATCCGACGTTCCTGCCAGCTACAAGGTCATAAAGTCCAGCAGTGATGCCCAGCTGTCCAGAAATTCCAGTAAGTCTGTCCTGCTCCCCTCCATAGCCTTGGCCTTTCCAGCAGAGTGCATTTTAAATAAAAACATTTTTCCTTTAGGGCATCACTCAGATTTTCCATTGGATGGTAAATAAGCAAGCTCAAGCCTAAGGTATGACATCAGTGAGCCTAACTGGTCATAAGCTGTGCTTGCTCCTGCCACCTGGATGGCTGCCTCGCCCTGTGACCTGGGGCTTCATTTCCTAACACCCAGATGTTGCCTGCCAGTCTCTTCTTTCTTTCTCTATGCTGGGGTCCAAAATTTTTGTGGTTTGATTACTTCACATTGCTTTACACCTGGCCAGGTTAAGGAATATTGACAAATGTATTTAAGGTTGTCAGCTGAATTCCACAAAGGTTTGGTGCTGTTGGTTTGCCTCAACCGTGGGCAACAGCCACTAGCATAGGTTGTCTCTTTCCTGTTCCTGAGGCTCCTCAAGGTGCCTGAAGGCCCTGTGACCCAGCTCCCTGCCCATCGGGTTGGGGAGCCGGAGGGGACAGATGCCCCTCTCTGTCTCCTGAGGAGGTTTCAGTAACTGAGGTGATATGGCTTTATCAGATATTGGGAGACTCAGTGTACACCTTTAAATGTGCGTTGCTGTATTTAATGTGGCCCTAATGGTTTGTGGTTTTTTTTATCCTCACCTGAGGATATTCTTTCCATTGCTTTTTAGAGAGAGTAGAGGGGGAGAGAAAGAAAGAGAGAGAGAGAGAGAGAAACATCGATGTGAGAGACACATAGCGATTGGTTGCCACCCGCACACACCTGGACCCGGGCTGGGGATCAAGCCTGCAACCAAGGTATGTGCCCTTGGCTGAAATCGAACCTGGGACCCTTCAGTCTGTAACTGGGCAGATGCTGTAACTACTCAGCCAAACCAGGAAGGGCTCTAATGGGTTTTATGGACGCCAGTTATTTTGAGCTAGAGAGGGAAGTGCCATCATTCTAGTGAAAGTTAAAACAGCTGACTGGTAAAGGATGAAAGGGAAGTAGAAGAATGCAGAGCCCTGGAGCATGGCCTGGCTTGGGCTCTAAGAGACTAAGCATGTGGTCATGAAAGTAGGCTGGAAGGCCTTTAAAATCATTCCACAGACACTTTCCGTCACTGATCCGGGCCCCAGCTTGAACCTTCAGTGCCATGTGCGGGTGGGCATTTATGTTGATCAACCAGGGGCCACAGCTACAGACATTGTCTGTGCACTGTGATTGAGGGTCTCCAATGTGAGGAAGAACCCTCCACAATCCCTAATGAGCTGCCCTTGTGCAGCCAGGACCTTCCAGAGCCTTCCTTCCCTTTATGAGGGTCCTTCCTACGAACATCTGTCTGTCTATAGCTGCTGCCAGATGTCCACATGGGCCTCAACACTGCGGTGTGAGCCAAGTAACCTGTGGCACTTGTTTCTGTAAACCTTCTAGCTGTGCTAGTTGTCACTCTTTAATTCTTGTTGTGACTTATACTTTTTAAGGCCTTGATATATAAAGAATATGAAACAGTCATGAAAGGACAGTCAGAATTTAAAATTGAGTTTTGTTTGGGTAGTAAACTAAATAAGGGTTTTGGAGTCAGAAAGATCTAGGGTGGCCTCTCGACTCTCCCTTGCAAATTACTTCACCTCTGAGCTGCAGTTTCCTCATCTGTAGAATAGTAATAAATTAATAAATTCCCACTGTGTGCTGTAAGGATCAAAGGAGAGATATATAAATGTGACCCGCACAATGCCTTATACTTAGTAAGCACTCAATAAATGTTAGTCCTGTACTGCTCATTTCTCCTACCTTACCATTTAGTGTAGAAATGTCTAGAACCAGATATAGAGTTCAACTTGAGTCTGTGTTCCTGCTATTTTAGTCATATCTGAGCAGAATTAAAAGCTGGTTCATTTGGTGAGACGTGGAGCACAAAGGAACTGTAGCCACCAGAAGTGGGATTGCTTTAGGCCAGAGCTTCTCACCCCCTGCAAGGCACACTGGGGGGCCAAGAACCGATTAGAGTTGGGCCAGGGATATTGACCCTCCCAGCCTTGGGGCAGCTGGGTGGGGCTGGGGCTTCAGGAAAGCAGCTACCTCCTTGTATTGCAGTGTGCTTTATAGTGTTGTCGTTTCTTATGTGCTCTGTGACATGGAAAGGGAAGGTGAACATGACCTTAGGCTGTGTTGCCCCCAAACTCATTATTAGGCACCAAGAAGAGTTCTAGGTTGGGGAAGAAAGAAAACATTTGATTGCTTTCTGGGGTCACCAGAAAAGTTCTTGAAGTGCTGCAGCATCCGAGTCTCCGTTAGTACATAAGGTGCCTTGTGTGTACAATAAAAAACGCAGCCCATCCTCTAGGCAGAAGAGCGGAGCACAGCTGGCTTTCTGTCTCCTGCTGCCCCTCAGCTGGGCCCCCGCAGCAACACACAAACTGTGCAGCCATGACTTGTGGAGCTTCGACCTGAACAGTCAGATTTAAGGTTTCTCAGAATCCGTGCTCTTCACACAGCTTCTCTCTTTCTCTTTCAAATGATCTCAGGTGATACATGCCTGAGGAATGCACTCCACAAACAGCAGTCACTCCCTCTCCGACCCATCATCCCCCTTGTTGCCCGGATCTCGGACCAGAACGCTTCTGGGGCACCCCCAATGACTGTCCGGGAGAAAACCCGCCTAGAAAAATTCCGTCAGCTTCTCTCCAGCCACAACACTGACTTAGGTGAGTCCCCGGGAACCCCGGGCAAGATAGGACCTCTCGGTGACTGGAATTCTGAGAGACCTGGAAGCTATTGCTCTTTATTCTTCCTTCTTTTACTTTTCCAGCATCTCCTGATCTGGTGCCCATTGCAGTGACATGCAGGTATTAAGTCAGCAGTATGTTACTAGAAATTAGGGACCAAATTAGGTGGGACTGGATTCTGTGGCCTGTAGACCATAGTGCAATTATTCTGGCTTCGGTCTCTCCCACCTCAAGGCAATTCTGTTGAAATCCACACCCACTTGCCTTTCTCTTCCCCTCTAACTCTAACTTCTGAGCCAACTGGATCCCTACTGCAGAGTGTGTCCTTGGCACTTTGCTGCTCGGGGCTGCTCTTTTGGGCTTTCCCCCTGTGCTTGTCAGTAGCTGGTGGTGGTGGTAGTGATGGTGATGGTGGTGATCATCTTACTTGAGTGGTGGGAGGCGTCAAGCCATGCTGGCTGAGGTTTGTTTTAGGGCATTTGTGGGAAGAGCTCAATCCAAGAAGCTTTTATCTGTTTGCAGATGAACTGAGGAAGTGTAGCTGGCCAGGGGTTCCCAGGGAGGTTCGACCTGTAACCTGGAGACTCCTGTCGGTGAGTTCTACCCACTGTATAGAGAAGTGTGAGCCCTTCTTACCTGATGAGGTTAGTGCGGCCACATTAGTCTTCCTCCATAGACTTCTCTAGTCCTACTGGAAATGACAGAACCAGGGACTGTAGTCCTGCATCTGTGCATAAACACGTTCTGGGGTTTTATTTCCACATGCATAGAGGAGCACAAGTTGGTTCCCACAGTCACAATCTCACATTCTCAACACCAGGGAGGAAGAATATAGTGAGGCACGGTAGTCCCAGCCCTTGTTTGGGCAAGTCCAACCGTCCCTGTGCTTCACTCCTTTCTCGGGAGAAGAACCACAGTGGTTGACACCCACTTTGCAACTGGAAAGAGCTGATAATGGGCCTCCCTCAGAGGCCTGCATAGTCCCACTTTCACTGAGTGCAGAGCACTGTCCAGCCACTGTGATAGGAACACTTGGATTTCTGAGCCTGTAAAATTCATTCATTCTTCTAGCAAGGATTCATTGAGGGCCTGCTGTTAGCCAGGTACAGTGCCAGGTGCCAGGAGGGTATAAAAAAATGAATCAGCCACAGTCCCTGCCCGCCAGGCACTCCCTGTGAAATGTATTGCATAAATGTCTGTGAGATGAAAGGTCTCCCTCCTGGCTGCTCCCCACCCCCAGTCCTGCAACCATGAACCATTGCCTCTGCCACTTTAATAAGTTCGACTGCTGTGAAGAATAGATTGGTGAGAATAGAAGGAGAGCAGGACATGTAAGGATTGGGAGTGGGATCTAGACCAGGGACAAGAATGAAAGTTGGCCTGGAGCTTGGGCTAGGAGGGGGCTGCTGCCAGAAGTTCTGTGTCTGGATGCTGCAGCTGCTGTGTCACAGATTCCAGTCAGCTTCCCAAGCTGGTAATTCTGAATGTTACCGTGGAAAAGAATGGGTAATGGGCACATGCTTACGTGGTGCATCAGTGAGATGTGCTGTAGACACGGCCGTCTCCCTGTGATTCTCAGAAGTGTTGCCTTGCACACATGCAGCTTTCAGAGGTCCTGACTTGGGCCAGTTCCCTCTGACTGACCTACATTCAGTGCTCTCCGTGCCAGCTCTGGGAGCTCTGGGATGCTCGTCATCAATACAAGCTCAAGTGCAGCACAGGGATACAAGGGTAAATAACCCTGGGAAGGTTGGCCTTGGCTCCTCTGCCTCACTGAGTGAGGAGAAGACAGACACTGGGTGGCCGAAACCAAACAGGACTCTACCCTGGTTCTCTTGGCAGTTTTCCCGCTATTCATTTGGTAGTTTCCAAGTCACTGCTCAGGCTAAAAAAAAAATTAAGGATTCATCCAACTAGTATCTGTCCCCATCTGACTAGTAGTCCTGTCTGTAGGGCTATCTCCCAGCCAACACTGAGAGGAGGAAGTTGACCCTGCAGCGGAAGCGGGAGGAATATTTTGGCTTCATTGAGCAGTATTATGACTCTCGAAATGACGAACATCACCAGGATACCTACAGACAGGTACAGTCATCACCTGATGCCCTTTTGCTTACTAGTCTTAAGCTTGAGGTGTGTCCCCTGGGCGTGCTACTGGGGTACAGTTTTCCGTCTTCAGGCTCTGGTGTGCTGGTTAGGAATTAAATTTATTCCTGGGAGTATGCAGAGTGGGTATGGGGTCTGGAAAAAAAATATTCCCAGAACTACTTTCCCTCTTTCTAATTCAGTAGCTCTGATTTTAGCCATTTTAGATAGACCACCCCCACCCCACCGCCACCAGTGGCAGTGCTTCTCAAACTTTAATGTGCATACAAATCACCTAGGATTTTGATGAAATCCCACCTGGGGATTATGACAAAATGCAGATTCTAATTCGGTAGGTCTGGGGTGAGACCTACCCTTCTAATGAGCTCCCAGGTGACGCCAGTGCTGCTGTTCCACAGACCTCACTTGAGTAAGGGTTATGGGTTACAAAATGAAAGATGCATTCACTCAGGAGTGGTCCAGTCCCTCTGGACCGTGACATCAGTGCCTGTTCAGCACCCATGTCTGTCTGTCTGTCTGCAGCAGCTGTCGCCATTGGCAGCCTTGGCAGGGAGCATTCCATCATTGCTCATAGTGGTCCCCGCAGCCTGCGAGAGGGTGGAGGGGATAAGAGCAATCTGGTGGTTGCGGAAGAGGGAAAAGACTGGGGGAGGCAGCTGTCTACAACAAGCCCTAAGAACTGAAGTAGCCGCTGCCGCTGCTGACAGTCCTTACAATTGTTAGACTGGGCTTTGGGAATCCCAAGGCCAAAACCAAGTGTAGTGACCTTTTTGGTAATAGAAGTCAGAATTTTCGGTGCCAGTTAATGAAGGTCAGCTCCCCCCTGGTTTTTCTCCACTTCTTATGCGTCATGACTTCACGAGCAGGTCCTTCTTAGTTCCCTATTCTCGCACGTTTTTGCAGTTGTCAAAGCTCTTTTAGTTCCTGGAAACTGCTGATGAGTAATTTGGAAAGAGGGGTACACATTTTGACCACACCTATTAAAGTACTGAAACAGACTTCAGAGCAATAGGAAAAAGCAGGGGATTCTCTCAGGTTGTGAAGCCTATTGCTTTTTGAGATAAGTGGTTTTGGGGGAGGTTTCCTCACTGTTCAGTGAGCTATTGCTGTCGTGGAAACATATTCCAGATGGACAGGTAGGTTTAACTAGACCTTTTTTGTATGTCAGTTAGTTCTTTGTAAAGATAAATTGTGCTCTCACTCTTACTCCCTTGATCCTAGTTCTTATTAAGAAAATACCGTTTCACAAAGTGGCATTTGTGTTTTTGGCCATGGCTTCTCTTTTTCAGATCCACATTGACATTCCAAGGACGAATCCTCTCATTCCATTGTTCCAGCAGCCACTTGTACAGGAGGTGAGGGAAGTACCTAGCGTCCTCGGCCCTCTCCCTTCATAGCTCTGCAGCCCTGTTCCGTGTGGATGAGCGCTGGAGCCTTCTCTCCAGCCCCGGCAGGTTACAGCTAACTGATGCACCTGTGTGAGACATGGAGCTGTGGGCCCTTCAGAGCACTTTCTTGTGTGTTCTCATGTGTTCTTCCTAACAATCCCAGGGGCCGAGTAGTGCTGAGAGTGAAGGGACTTGCCCAGAGTCTTGAGGCCACCTGGTGACAGAATGAAGACTAGAGCCCACATCTTAGAATTCCTAGTCCTGTATTTGCTCTACTTTATCAATCTGGGATAATGATTTTTGTATTGTAAATATATATAACAACCATCACCACCATCCATCTGTAGAACTTTTTATTTTTCTAAACTGTAACTGTCCCCATTAAACAGTAACTAATAACTAATTATTGATCCCCAGCAACCACCATTCTACATTCTCTCTGAATTTGACTACTCTCTGTACCTGTAATAAGTGGGGTCATACAGTATTTGTTCTTCTTGTCTAGCTTATTTCATTTAGCATAGTATCTTCAAGGTTCATCCATGTTATAGCATGTGCCAGAATTTCCTTTCTTTTTAAGGCTGAATGATATTTCATTATACGTATATAACACATACCATTGATCCGTGCACCTATCAGTGGTCAGTTGGGCTGCTTTCCACCTTTGGGTATTATGAATGCTGCTGCTCTGCACATGGGCAGCGAGTATCTGAGTCTGTGCTTTAAATTCTTTGGGGTATATACCCAGACATCTCTGCTGGTGGGAACCCTCATGACTTACCAATAGCATAAAGAAGATTTTGAGGGCGACACCGTTATTTTACCTGTAAGAGCTCAAAGAAAGCTAAAAACCCATTCAGGACCCCCGTGTCTCCTATACAGTTCCCACAACTCAGCCCTGCTCTTTCCATATTCTAACTTGGAGATGTTCAGATACTTCTGTTTGTGCCTGTTCACTCTAAACTTGGACAGGAAAAGTAGCTTGCTTAACAGGCCTCTCCTAATAGCAGACTGGAATACAAAGAAGGAAAATCAAACTGTAGTCTTTTCAGTGTTTCTTAAATCACCTTTCTGTGTAGCAGGCTTTAGTTCTCTTAAACAGAGTAAAATGCTAACCAGGGGGTAAAGAACTGAGTAACCCTGAGTACTGAAAGGTACTTTGGCATTTACTATAGTAAGTCAGAATTACCACACGAGTCGAAGAGTGGTAATTTCCCTCCCCTCCCCTCCCCTTTCTTCAAGGGTAGACTTGTTCTGTAGTGAAGATCCCATGTCTCCTGTGGTAACCAGGTTACTGTTCAATTTCCACCTCTTTGGCATCTTCACTGGTACAGGGTGAGTGTGTCTGAATTATCCCACCCTTACTATAGAGAGGTGGCCATTGTTAAAGCCAGTCATCAGGATTTGTGTATTCACAAAGGGCTCATAGTGTGGAATAGAGGCCTGTTTAGCCCTTCAGAAGGACTGACCTGGAGAAGCTTTTAACAGAGACATCCAGACAGACAAAGGCCACAGGAGGCATGAGGAGACAGAGGGGTAGAAAATCCCTGGGATCTTCCTGAACATGGTGGGTCTAGCTTGACCTACAGTTTCAAGGCTCATTTAGCAGCAGAGAGGAAAGAATGCAGGCAGGCCCCCATTAGAGTGCTGGATTTAACACAAATGAGGACGGTATGCCCTTCCCTCAGCCCCAGAGAGCAAGCAGGCACGTCTACTGGGGGCAGAGAGGCCAGCGCCTTTCAGACAGGGCTCTGTGCTCACCCCTGGAAGTGCAGGAGTGTTGGTGGTGGGAGTGTCTCAGCTCTGCCAGCTGGAAGGCAGGCTCAGCACATGTCAAGATTCTCCACCTCTCTCCTACACTAGCTAACCTTCTCCAAAACCATACAATTGTTTCCTTTTTACTGTTCTCCCTGGGAGCTTTTTTCTCTCTCCCTCTGACCTCTGACAGTGCCTCTTCAATTTGCCCCCAGAGCCAACTGTTTGGGGCTCTGCAAGCCCATATGCTATGGGGCCCTGTAATCTGTCCCTCTGCACATCACCAACTCCTCTCTCACCCTCTGTGTGGTTCACAGAGACATGAGCAGCCCATGTCAAGCCCAGGAGTTGTGGTCAGCTGGATGAAGCCAGGGAATGAGTATTATCAGGCTGAGAGGAGATGGGGGGAAGTTCAGGGCCTAATGAAAGCAGAGCAGAGTATAGCTAGCTGAACAGGACAGGGCCAGACTCTGTAAAAGGACCATAAAGATCTCTTCTTTCTCCCCATCCTAAACCTCTGGCCTCTTGTGGCTAATATACTAAACCCCAGAGGCTTTTCCATGGAGGCCCTGGCTGATTTCTCTTTTCTCAGATTCCCAGCTGTAGGAATCCATGGGATTTGGTTTATTTAACTCCCCATCCCCAGCAAATGTCGGGCCTCATCCTGATATATGAAGTGACTTCCTACATTTGTTGTCTATCGCTAGATCTTTTTCTGTCTCAGCAGTGAGAAAGGAGAGGGTGGTAGAGAAGGGATTTCCTATCTACATCCTGTAATGACAAAAAAGATTTAGCAAAAGTACCCAAACTTAGGCGTTCTGAATAATGACACCCTGAGTCAATGACATCATCGCGCACCCTTTTCTAAGCCGTGTGTCGCTGTCCTTTTCCCAGTTTTACATCACAGTGACTAGATGCTAAAAAGGTAAAGGGCAAGAAGTATCTACCTGTGCTTAAAAACAATTAGTGTCTTAGAAACTTTTTATATTTCTATACTTCATCTCGTAGTATTTAAAAATTTTCCTAAAAATTCTGCAGCAACCCTGAGATGAATTGTGAAGTAGATAAGTGGAGGGAGGGAGTGTATTCCCATGGTTTAACAGCCATGTCTTCTTTCTTTCCTAGATCTTCGAAAGAATTCTATTTATTTGGGCCATCCGACACCCTGCCAGTGGGTATGTCCAGGGAATTAATGACCTGGTCACTCCGTTCTTTGTCGTCTTCCTCTCAGAATATGTGGGTAAGAAGCATGAGTACCAAGTTGAACAAGCTACTGTTCTTTCTCATCTTCAGTCTGTGTTTTTCCCGAGTGCAGCCGGTAGGCATGTCTTGCTAAGAAAGGACAGTGACTTTAGATGTACAGCTAAGCCTATTTTAACAGCGGTAGCAACCTGGAATTTATCTCTTGAAATGGTCGCAAATCTCACCTAAAAAGACCTGCTTTGTCACAAGAATGACCAAATTGGTATGTTATGTTCTGCCATAAATAGATGGTTTGGTGGTTTATTTGAGGTCATTTTAGGATTATTTTGAACTTGTCTGAAACACAGGCCCTCATCCATGAAAGCTGGAATTTTAGATGGTGTATCAGGCCTTTTCACTTGAGTTCACATGCCATTTTTCAGTAGCAGGATGTAGGGGAAAAGGTTGTGGCACCAGAATCCAGCTCAAATTGGAGGTAGTGGATGGACCAAGGAGAGCTCCAGCACCTTGATTTCTTCCCCTCCTCCTCCCCCTCTTACCCCACTGGGTGCCTGTCACTTTGGGCAGAGTGATAAGATGTCACTGTGGCAGTTAGGTTTTCTTGCAGCCCTAGCCTCCACCCCTGGCCAGGCAGAGTCTTAAAAGGATTTGAGGATGCTCCTTTTTTTTTCGGTTTTCTTAATCACTTGTGCTTAGAGGTTCAAAGGAAAACCCATCTGTCATGGCCTGATGCTTCGTTCTCTTAATTGAAGAGAAGCTCATGTGGGAATTAGAACATTGAAAAGGGTCTTAGAAAACCATTCATCTAATCTACTTTCTTCACAGATGTGTTATAAGTTTCCCTGCCTTCTTATTAGTGGCAGAGCTAGGACTAGAACTTTTTTCTTTAGACTCAAGGTAGGTGGAGAGGGGTGGATAATTGTGGTTTTTGGAGGAGCCATTGCAGGGGGCTAGGAAGGTAATGAGAAGTGGACTAGAATAGAGACCCTTGACAGGAGAGGGCTAAGAAATGTTGTACTTGATTCGTCCCATTCAGGTTTTCTGATGGGGCTTAAAAGGATAGTGTTTTGGTCTTCAATGAGGCAGTCTCAAAAAGTAAGGCAACGGAATGACATCATCCTGGTTCCCCTTAAGTGGCAGCAACCAGGGCAGAACTGGGAGTCAGAGTGGAAGGTCACTCTTGCCCACTCTGTCAGGTGATCCTAAGCAAAAGCCAACTAGTGAAAATTTACTACCAGAAGCGTATAATAAAGCTTTTGCTGGAGGACTTTTCATTTACCCCTCACATTAATAGGTCAACTTTTGGAGGCAGTTTAATTCTGTGCTTAATTTTATTAAGAGCAATGCAGCTGATGGGATTTTTTTTATTGCTTCTTGCAATAGCACTTCTCTAAGATAGTATTAAAGGATGTGCCTAGGACAGTATTAATTCATTCATTAATCTACATTTGAAGTCTACATGCTGGCATGAAATCTTGGTAACAGTATTATGTCAGTTAAAAGTAATCCTCAGCAGCTGCAGTTCTAGTTGGATATTTATTTATCTTGTTAGCTGCCATATTTTGTATCAAAATTTTCTTTGCTTTCTATAGGCGCCCATCCCATTACTGCCTCAACCCCATTAGCCCCATCAAGTACATGCCTTTCTTAGATAGGACTGAATTCTGATCTTGGTATTTGGTTTGTTAGCCCCCTTGCTGACCCACAGTGTTTATGCAGCGTGGGCTTCGAGTGGCAAGCCTTCCGTAGCTCTCACTTTCACCTCTTCAGATTCCCTTCTCCTAGACCTAGGAAAGTGGGGCCCATTCATGTTTTTTACAAAAATTTTAACTATGTTATGTTTTAAGTATATGTAAAAGTAGATAAAATAATACTACAAATCCCTAAATACTCATCACCCAAATTCAACAGCCAGTCTTGTATCATCTATTCATTCTCCATCCCCCCAGTTTTATGAGTTATTTGGGAGCTAATCTCAGTATTAAGCATCATATTTCATCTGTAATATTTCCATATGTATCTCTAGAACATAATAATTAAAGAACCCCACAGCCATAGTGCAATTACTACATCTAAAAAGTAATAATAACTCCTTAATAGTTTATAGACAACAGTATTTAAATTTTCCTGATTCTCATAAATATATTTAAGTTTGAATTAGAATCCAGATTGGGTCCACACATTCTAAATGGTTGATAGGCCTCATCTGTTCCCATCCATCTCTCTTTCCCTTAGGACTTCGTAGTGTTAGCCCTTGTTTTTCCACTTTCCAGCCTAAGGCAATGCCATACCAAGCAGTAATGTCACCTTGATTTTTAAAGTACTTTACTATTTACAAAGTACTTTGACATACCTGATTTCATTTAGTAGGCCCCAATCTCTCTCTCTTTTAAAAAAAAAAAAATCTTCATTTTGTTGTTTTTTATTCATTTTGAGAGAGAGAAAAACATCAATGTGAGAAACATTGATCTGTTGCTTCCCATATGCGCCCCAACTGGGATCAAACCAGAAACCTAGGTATGTGCCCTGATCAGGAATCAAACCTGTAACCTTTTGGCGTACAGGACAACACTCCAACCAACTGAGCCACCCACCCAGGGCCCAGTATCTCTTGAAGGGAGGTGTGTCAATTCATTTTGCAGGTGAGAAATCCAAGGCTCAGAGATTTAATGAGCTTTCAAAACTCAAACCCAGGTCTTTTGATCTAATACCTGTGCTCTTTTTAAAAAATATATATATCTTTATTGATTTCAGAGAGGTAGGGAGAAGGAGAAAGAGAGATAGAAACATCTATGATGAGAGAGTCATCATTGATCGGCTGCCTCCTGCACACCTCCGACAGGATGGAGCCCGAAACCCAGGCATGTGCCCTGACCAGGAGTCGAACCTCGATCTCCCAGATCCTAGGTTGATGCTCAACTGCTGAGCCACGCCCGGCCAGGCAATACCTGTGCTCTTTATATGACTCCATGATATCTCATCTCAGATACTTGTTCTTAGACCTCTAATGGCTCCCTGTGCTCCATTTTCTGCTCCAAAGCAGGTAGCAAGCACAATTCTTACTACTCTTGCCCTAAAAAAAATTGCAGTAGGGGCACATGCCTGGGTTGCAGGCTCAGTTCCCAGTAGGGGGCTTGCAAGAGGCAGCCCATGGATATTTCCCTCTCTTCTTCTCCCTTCCCCTCTTCCTAAAAATCAATAAAAACACATTTCAGCCCTGGCCGATATTGCTCAGTGGTTAGAGCGTCAGCCCGAGCACCAAAGGGTCTCGGGTTCAATTCCTAGTCAAGGGCATGTACCTGGGTTGCAGTTGGGGCAGATGCCAGAGGCAACCAATTGATGTGTCTCTCTCACATCGATGTTTCTCTCTCTTTCTCTCCCCCTCCCTTCCTCCCTCCCTTCTTCCCTCCCTCTCTCTGTAAACATCAATGGAAAAAAATATCCTTGGGTGAGAATTAACCAAAAAAACATATTTCAAAAAACAGAGTACATAGTATTTGCTCTATTTTTATAAGGTAAAGACAGAGAAATCCCAAAAGGCCTCGGCATTAAGGGCCATGTTAATGCTTTATCTATTAATTTATTCCTGAGCTCTGTGATTCTTTGCATCCAGTGAGACATTCTGTTTGCTGAACAGTGGGCCACCTCTTAAACACACAGTCTTCCAGAGCACACAGGGTGTGGATGAAACGTCAGGAATGATGAACACTTAGAAGTCTTAACAAGGCTGGGATAGCTATGTCCAGATGTCTAACTTCAGAATGTCAATGTAGTTAGTACATGGAGAACACTCTGAGCCTTTACATGGTTATCAGTCTTCACTGGGAGGGGTAACAGCAAAATTATAATAGCCACCACTCGTTTATTTACGTATGAATGCTTACCGCGTGTAGGCTAAAGCCTCGTTAATCATTATGTCATTTCGTCCTCACAGTCATCCTGTGAAGTAGGTACTATCATTGTCCCCATTATAGATAAACAAGCTAAGGATTAGAGAGGTTGAATGACTTGCCCAAGGTCAGATGACCAAAAGGTTTGGGAGCCATTATTTAAATACAGTTCACTTAATGTATTTTTGAGTTTCATCCTTTTTGTAGCATGTGTCGGTACTTCATTCCTTTTTACTATCAATAATATTTGATTTTGTGGGTAAACCACACTTGATCTGCTCATCAGTTGACAGATATAAATTACATTTCAAAGAAACAAAACATACAGACTCTTGTCCATCCTCCAGGCCTTTCTTGAACATAGATACAACGTTGTTTGTGCCCTTCAAGAATAATTCTCTTGTCTGAGTGATAATCCTTCTTTTATCCCTTCTCCAGTGGTGCCCTATCCTCATAAGACAGCTGCTGTAAAGGTTTTTGCTGTGACCTCTCTGATACTATGCTCCCTAGTTCAGGAGGCCTCAGGTGTCCCTTGCTCAGGGAGCAGGCCAGGCAGTTGCCCTCGGCATCTGGGCAGGTGTCACCAGGCAGCCTCCCCTCCATCTCACTGAGCTGTAGCTTGGAGGATCTGCCCTAGTAGAGCTGTGGGGCGCACGCGCCTCCCGGTCATCGGGCTCTCCTGCATCCTCCCCCATCTGTCTCTGTCACTTACATCACTTAGTACCTGAGCTTGCTTCATGCTTCATGTCCTGCTTTCTGTAAAATACTTGAAAACAAATTCAGACTTTCCTGACTTGATAGAGAGTTGTCCATACTGGCCTAGTGCCCAAGCAGCTTCTTTACCTGGTGAGGCCAGCTGCTCATATAGAAGTGGGTCCTCTGCAGATAAGCCTGCTGTGTCTGGGTCCAGGGGTGACAGGGCTAGAGGGTCACCCCTGGAGAGATACAGTCTCTGGACTATGATCCCTGAGACTGCAGAATACCTCTAGTCTGTAATCTCCAAACCTTACGGCTTAGACAATATTATTGATCTAGCTCTAAACATACTAAGGTAAGATGTAATTGATAGTGAGGTCATCGCCAAAGTAGACTGCTTAACAACAACTAAAGTGACGAGTATGAGGAAATCACAGAAGAGTGGGGGCCT